AACATAACATTCACAGGCTTTACAATGTTTGCTGTAGCTACTCTGCAGAAAGACAAATCTCAAAGAACCCCCCAAAATAATTGCCTTGTAAATGATACATTCAAATGTACTAAGATCACAGTCACATGATTAACTCCTATATGGCAATGAGTTCAGTAGGCACTTTAACAAATATGTTATTATCAAAATAAAGAGGTCTTGGGACTTCCCTGGTGGTGCAGTGGTTAAGAATCCACCTGCCAATGCAAGGGACAGGGCTTCAAGCCCTGGTCCGGGAAGATCCCACATGCCGCAAGCAACTAAGCCTGTGCACCACAACTACTGAGCCTGTGCTCTAGAGCCCGCAAGCCACAACTACTGAGCCCGCATGCCACAACTACTGAAGCCCGTGCTCCTAGAGCCCATGCTCCACAGCAAGAGAAGTCACCTCAATGAGAAGCCCACGCACCACAATAAAGAGTAGCCCCAGCTTGCCCCAACTAGAGAAAGCCCACGTGCAGCAACGAAGACCCAACGCAGCCAAAAATAAACAAATAAATAAATTAATATAAAAAAAGAGGTCTTTAGTTTTTTGATTTTGTAATACTTAATTTCCCCATCTGTTTGGAAAGAAAAGAATCTGCCCAACAGATACTAAGACTGAATCAAACAAAGAAAAATCTAAGTTTTAATTTGCAAAAATTTGAAATCTAAAGTTGGACCCAGACTGAGATATAATGTTTTAAAAATCATTCTTGTTCAGGCACCCATAGAAACTCATAGAAAACCATATAAACGATAGACTATAGAACAAATGACAATCTGGGTTGGGAGGGGTCTTCTTTTTTTTTAATCTTTCCAGCAGAAGAGATTAAAATCAGCAGAAGCAGATTTTCCACAAAACTAATGGCACTTTGTGCGGGCCCCTGTGAATGCTAGGCGTGGCATGGCTGGATAGAACTTTCTGGTTCGGAAAAGGCTGTATTTCAGTATAAGCATTGTGATAAATGATAAATTGCCTAAAAAGAGCTCAGAAAAAAGGGACTAACTCCAAGGCTAAAGTAATTTGTTGTGAATTCTTTTTTTTTTCATTTTAATAAATATTTGTTTTCATGCCTGACTGTATACTCTCTAAAAGATGGCCCCTGAAATTATATAATTTTCAAGCTCCCTCCAAAACACACACACACACACACGTGTGTGTATATATATATCTCTCTCTCTATATATGTATGTGTGTGTATATATATCTATACATATATATAGATATATATGTGTATGTGTGTGTATATATATATGAACCCTACTGCATAGTTTTGAAAATATTTAGTAAGCAGATCTCTCTTTCTACCATTTAAAGAAAGTTTACAAGGAAACAGGATTTCATTTTCATTATAGGAAGAGGACTGGTTCTGAATTACCAGCATTTCTGGTTTCAGAAAGAGAGTAAGTCAAGGTAGAAGCATATTTTGCATATTCTACATTTGTCTAAATATTGTCTGTCGCTTTATTTATTTATTTTTTTCTTTTGTGGTACGCGGGCCCCTCACTGTTGTGGCCTCTCCCGCCGCGGAGCACAGGCTCCGGATGCGCAGGCTCAGCGGCCATGGCTCACGGGCCCAGCCGCTCCGCGGCACGTGGGATCTTCCCGGACCGGGGCACGAACCCGTGTCCCCTGCATCGGCAGGCGGACTCCCAACCACTGCACCACCAGGGAAGCCCT